AAAAAAAAAAAAACTCTCTCATGTGAAAGTATATAACTAACAGACTATGATTCTTTTTTTTACAACTTGATTGAATGGAACAGCGATCTCAAGCAAGGCTCAATCAACTAATACGCTTTGTTTGTCGTCTCCCTTCGGACGTACCCTAGGAAAGAACAACAAGAGTCGCCTCCCCCGAGAACAACTTGAAAGCAACAAGCCCTTCCTATTCTAATAAGTGGGATTGCTTTTCCCTGAGAGACAACTTCCCAAACCATAAAGAACTAGACGCCCCTACCCTATCTGATTAAAGCTAAAGGTGAATTGCTTTGGGTTGTATTGATTTGTGTTGACTTGAGTTACCTAAGTCAGGCACATTTTCCATTACCGAATAATGCCTGCAGTACGAGTACTTGTGCAATAAGTCAGATAGATATTGACACAGCGAGTACATATATTAACCCATAAAAAAGACTAGTGGGAAAGCACACAAAGCCAACAACACTCTTAATATAGCTATCACCTTGCTGAGCTTGAAGCCTTTTTTTGAATCCTAAAATGCTCTTGCTCCTTGATTTCACATAAACAGCGGAAGGATTTATATCCAACCTAAACTATCTATCCTTAGAAGTAGGGCAAAAGAAAACCTACAAAGGGGGACATCTGGAATTCATTGAAGGAAGAATATTACTATATGGGAAAGTCAAATATCTCTTAATAAAGAAGCAAAAAATCTTAATAAGAAGGAAAAAGAAAAATTCTAAGACACCCTTTGCCGTCTGCTTGGAAAGAAGAATAGATTGATTCACCTAGCTGGGAAGACGGAAAGGACAGAGATATAAAGCAATATAGCCTGCTCGGAAAAGAAAGCGCATTGCACATCGCATCGCATACCGGATATCTCATACCTACTTGAGAAAGAGTATCGGATATCGCATATCGAAGACACCTGCCCCTAACCTGTCCTATCTTAGAAAACTATATCATCAAAAAAACACGAAACGGATATGGGGTTTCTTACCGCTGACTTGCTTCTAGGCTTACGGTGAAAGGCGCATCGCATGGGTTCCAAACCTTGTTGACTACAAGCGTTGACATACCACCGTTTGACTTTTCTTTCTTAGGGCCCGTTCGCGGCGCACTCCTATTCTCTCAACAAAGCTTCTTTAAAGGGAAGCCCTTTCTATCCCGCTTCCTCAAACATGGACTTGCATATCTATCTCTTACTCAAGCAAAGCAAGCTATTACTAAAGCAAGGCCACTAATAAGAAATAAGAATAGCGCTCTCGATGTCCTCTGTTACCTTTTGCTTCCTTGCTTTTATGGCGAGCTTCCCATTACTCATCTATAGGGCACGACACGGCAAGAAAGATTCATTACTAACTGACCATAGAGAGGGAAGGTTCTTTACCAACACCACTCTAGCGAAACTGACAACTAATAATCATAATGGCGCTTCCCTTGCCTCTGTTATTTGGGGGTCATATGTTGACTCTCTCTTTCCTGCTCCCTCATACACGGAAGACATCCATCCTTTTGGAGCCCTATTAGCTTTTTTAGTAAGCCCTTTCGATTCGATTATTAGTAGGGACATTAAGTGAGATATCAATTCCTTGTCTTCAAGTAAGATAGAAACCTATTCCCTTTATGACCTAAAACAAGCTGACCTCCGCATTTGGATTCCTATTAAGGGCAAGAGTGAGACTTGTCTATTCCTACTAAAGGAAAGAGAAGAGTGACTTAGCTACCAGAGCAGAAGGCCAGAAGGAATCCTTTACTTACCTCTAGGAAAGATCTCTTTACTTACGACTCTTGAACTTGAAGGTGGGCGGGAAGTAGATATTCACTGACTTAGAGCTTGTCAAGTGGAGCCTTTGGAACCTTTACATCTATAGGGGCTCCACAGGAGGGAAGAGATAAAATGAAGACTATTCGCCCAGAGGGAATTAAAGCAACTTATTTCCCCCTTTGGGAAAATATAATGAACTTGGTAAGAGCTAAATAGAGGAGGAAAGGAAGAGATTTAACCCCCTATCTATAAAGATTAGAAGTTGGGTTCCAAACCTTGCTTTTCTCTGGAATTGAGAATCTTTCCTCTGATTACAAGCAAGATTTTTTAAGAATTGGAGGATCTATGGAACTTGAATTCAAGGCTTGCTATAAGGCCTGCATGCAAGTCTTGAATAGATATTTAATACACTCCCAAATCTCCTGAGTTACAGCGAGCGCAGTTTTCTGCTTTCGCGGTCGAATCTACGATCCTCGACCATCTTTCCCTTCCGACTATGCAAATTCACCCCTATCTCTAAAGGGGCTTCTAATTGTTTTCTTTTTTTTTCCAATGTTAAAAGGAACAATAGAAGAAAAGGCTACCCAGCCAAGGAAATTGACAAAAATACATTCTTTCTCGGGGGACCATGCTCTCGGGAGAAAGTAGTGATGATTGCCTCTCAATGGAATTCCTTTTCGGGGGAGATTTCTTTGAGAAGAATGTGATTTCAAGATAAGAATTTAGCCAGATTCAGAATCAACATTAGAGAACCGGATCTTATGGATTATCCCCCCTTTCCCCTTTCTCTAATAATAAGGTAAGCTCGTTGGATCCTCCTCATCCTTGGAACTAAAAAAAAGAGTTTGAACTTTCTTCGTCTTCTTCTTTGTCCCCATTTCCAGCTTCCTCTCCTTCAACTTTTTCTTCCCCCCTACTTCTTTAAGGCTGGTCAATTTCCATCCCCTTTTTTTGACTTTTCCCTCCTTATCAGAAATGACTGTTATTGGTGTCGTAAGGCGACGCAATCCCGGTGTCTCGTTACNCTTTTTTTGACTTTCCCCTCCTTATCAGAAATGACTGTTATTGGTGTCGTAAGGCGACGCGATCCCGGTGTCTCGTTACTTTGACCCCCCGTCCTCCTCTCTCGTTCTTCATGGCCTAAAAAAAATGGAATATATATATTTCAAGAAATGGAAAAGAAAGCATATCAAGCCCAATGTTGGGATTGAAGGCTTATATGTAGTACCTTCACCCCTTCTTGTCTCGGGATCTTGAATCCTTTCCTCTCCTTGACTTGTATTAGTAGGGCGTTCTTCATCTAAAGGCTCTTCATATCATGAACTTGTCCAAGTCAAACTCTTCTTGTTGCGGGAGAATGTTCTGGTAAGCTCGTCAGGTGCTGGCGTAAGTAGTAACTCCTACCGTTGCTAAAGCTTTCTCTTTAAGGCTTTTCACTGCGATTATCGTTATTCAAGTGNGGCTCTTCATATCATGAACTTGTCCAAGTCAAACTCTTCTTGTTGCGGGAGAATGTTCTGGTAAGCTCGTCAGGTGCTGGCGTAAGTAGTAACTCCTACCGTTGCTAAAGCTTTCTCTTTAAGGCTTTTCACTCCGATTATCGTTATGAAAGCGGTATCACAGAGAATCTTTCCTTTCGTCCTTCTGGCAAGGGTTTGAAGAGGGGCTTGGTAGCTAGGAAAGTCAAGTCAGGGAGGAAGGCGCTGTACTATTAGGCAAGTAGCGGTTGTAGTCTCGGCTTTCTTCTAGCTTTGGAGATTTTTTAATAAGACATNGTTTGAAGAGGGGCTTGGTAGCTAGGAAAGTCAAGTCAGGGAGGAAGGCGCTGTACTATTAGGCAAGTAGCGGTTGTAGTCTCGGCTTTCTTCTAGCTTTGGAGATTTTTTAATGAGACTTTAGGATTCAAAAAAAGGCTTCAAGCTCAAGTGCAAGCTGAGTAAACTTGTTCAGCTTTACTGCAAGTCTAAAGAAAGAAAGGGAGGGGCAAAGTCCACTCGCTATTAGCTCGCTTAAATCTCTCCACTCGCATAGTAAATAGCACTCACCCTAATCAAATCCAGATCTTGTTCCTTTGCGAGCGGAAGTCAAAACAAATACCGAGACTCCTTTCTTTTATGCCTTATTAGTTATGAAAGTGGTTTGTTTGTACTNCCTTATTAGTTTAGTTTAGTTTAGTTTAGTTTAGTTTAGTTTAGTTTAGTTTAGTTTAGTTTAGTTTAGTTTAGTTTAGTTATGAAAGCGGTTTGTTTGTAATGAAAAGGAAAGAGAAGGCGGCTGTAGAGATAGAGTCTTTACGGGCAATGAAAGCGGTAGGGCAAGTGAAACATTCTATCTTTGTCAGGCTTAAGGTAAAGGGCATGAGAGAAAGAAAGTTCTTGTTTCTGGGCATATCGATAGGGATAAGAGCAAGCGGTAAGTGAGGCAATTCTTTTCGGTAGTGGATCAGAGTCAAATATCTCTTTTTAGAAGCGAAGTCGTAACTTATACCATTCGAAAGGCGCTCCAGTCCTTATGGATAAATAGATAGAACTGTTGTTTCTTTGCGGTTATGGTAAGCAAGTCTATTAGTACACAACACTCGTTTATAAAAGGCGAATAACTTACTTTATTAACGAGCGTGAGAGCGATGAGCTTTGTCTTTTGGTTTTGAACTTCTAAGAGCTTTTAAGTCGGAACTCAAAGCTAGTGCGTTAAATTGTTGTAAGGCTATCGGATCAGAGAATTCCCTCTTTCAGTTTTGCTCACCCTACTTCTAAGGATAGATAGTTTAGGGAAAGCAAGTGCTGTGATGAGATCTGTCTTTCGGCTTGGTCGAGGACACCATTACCTTGTTGCTCGCATCGTGATCGATGTAGATTCTTCCTCTCTAGAGCCCCGACCGGTCTTGACTGAAAAGCTTTCAGACCCCTGTGTGAGCAAGTTATACTAGCAACTTGCTGTGTCATGTCCGTTCTCGTTACACATATGATATGGTACCTCTTTATCTTAAGATCTCTTTTGCTACTNTAGAGCCCCGACCGGTCTTGACTAAAAAGCTTTCAGACCCCTGTGTGAGCAAGTTATACTAGAAACTTGTTGTGTCATGTCCGTTCTCGTTACACCTATGATATGATNCTTTCGGCTTGGTCGAGGACACCATTACCTTGTTGCTCGCATCGTGATCGATGTAGATTCTTCCTCTCTAGAGCCCCGACCGGTCTTGACTGAAAAGCTTTCAGACCCCTGTGTGAGCAAGTTATACTAGCAACTTGCTGTGTCATGTCCGTTCTCGTTACACATATGATATGGTACCTCTTTATCTTAAGATCTCTTTTGCTACTGGTGCAATCACCTCTCACGAGGTTAAATCTGAGCCAATCTCTCTGGTGAAATGTCTGGGGTGACATGTGCATTCCGAAATATTTCCATCATTTGTTCCAATATCTCATTAAGGGGGTGCTCTTAAGTTAAAAGAAGACCTAAGATCGAAATTTGGGTGGGGACTTTGTTAAGCTGTTCAACTACATTCTATTCCCACCTCTAGATTTCCTTGAGAAAAACATCAGNAAGATCGAAATTTGGGCGGGGACTTTGTTAAGCTGTTCGGCTACATTCTATTCCTACCTCTGGATTTCCTTGAGAAAAGCATCCGTTTTTTCCTTCCCTTTTTTCTTTTCTTTATCTCTATCTGTTTTCAGGTTGTCTGGCTTAAAACATCTGTCAGAGCGAGTCATGTTCCCAATCTCATCACAATTTTCCCTTTCTCTCTTCTCCGTATCTATTTTATTAGTTCCAAGGGACTCTATCAAGATTGTAGACAGGAGGTGGTTGGTAAGGGATAATGATAGGTTGTGGTGCAGGCAGGGTGAGGGGTTGAGGAGGGATTTGAATCAAAACTAGATTTTGGGGTCAAGGGCCTCTAAGATTATGCTTCGCCCTGTCACAATTCATCCCTTACAGAGAGTGAAAAGCGCGCAACAGTCTAATTCGAGTTTTCGTGCTCCATCTAGTTCTTATAGGAATAGCAGTTTAGTGTGATAAGACTAAAGAAAGAATGGCAGTTAAGCTCCATNTAGGAATAGCAGTTTAGTGTGATAAGACTAAAGAAAGAAAGAAAGAAAGAAAGAAAGAAAGAAAGAAAGGCAGTTAAGCTCCGTTAACCTGGGAATTAGGGTTCTCCTAATCAAGTTACGTGTGCTAACTACTCTTCTTTTTGTGCTTGTGTCTTCGTCTTCTGTGTGACAACTGTGCCAAAGCCTCATCATTGATCGAGAAATCCCCTCTGGCTGATTCCCATGAACAGATAAGGCCAGAGAACAACAGATGGAGAGAAAGAATGAGTGTAGTTAAATGGATATGAGGCTGCCCCTTCCCTTGATATTGGGAGGGAAGTTCCATCTCATCTCCCTAGTTTAGTGCAGTCTTATGTGCCCCATTCCTTCCTCTTGCACTTTATAGGTTTGGTTCTTCGCTCGATTTCGACGAAGTCATGGTCTGAGGTCCGTCCTAAGTAATGCCCCATTCATATGGCTCCAAGCGTGTTGCCTTTCCTGGTCTTCCAGCTCAGCTGGCTACTTTCTCATTCGTGCCATTTGTGATTTTCCAAAAGCCTCTACCCCCCTATCNCCCATTCATATCATATCATATGGCTCCAAGCGTGCTGCCTTTCCTGGTCTTCCAGCTCAGCTGGCTGCTTTCTCATTCGTGCCATTTGTGATTTTCCAAAAGCGTCTGCCCCCCTATCACACACAATAAGGCGACCCTTGCTTGTCTTGACCCTCAAGTAAATAAATAAGCAAGCAACCTTGCATTTCTTCCAACTCAAAGAGGTGATACGCCTTCTTNCTATCACACACAATAAGGCGACCCTTGCTTGTCTTGACCCTCAAGTAAATAAATAAGCAAGCAACCTTGCATTTCTTCCAACTCAAAGAGGTGATGCGCCTTCCTGATTGTCCCCATTGAGAGATGCTGGAAGTTGCGAGAAGGTGGTGTCCCCATCCCAAGTTCTTTTGCTTTGGCCTCTTTCATGCCCGATTTCCTAGAAGTGGAGATGTCCCCGGTCAGTCCGATGGATTTCCTACCAACAGGGGACAGATGAACTGAACTCAAGAGCAGTCCTTTCATTCAATGATTTATGGGTTTGAAGATTATGCTTGTCACATTCATGCGAAAGAACTTCACTCTGGCACGGGCTAGTCATATTCATTCTCGTTATCAATCTGCTTATAAATCTGAAATTTGAGACTCTCTCTGATCTAGAAAGGAAAGAAAAAAAGTTTTTCTTTCTGAAAGCNCGTTATCAATCTGCTTATAAATCTGAAATCTGAGACTCTCTCTGATCTAGAAAGGAAAGAAAAAAAGCTGTTCTTTCTGGAAGCCCCCCCTATCAAGAGCCGAACCATCAGCGTTCATTGCCTGCAGGTCATTTCACCAATGTGTCACAGGTCAAAGGTGAACCCACCAGCTTCAATTGGTGTAGCCAACCACGTGTCAAAGGTAGCCGATTTGTTGAAAAGCAAAAAGGAAGGTCAAAGCATAGAGTCCTGTGAAGACGTTCTTTCACTCTTTGGTAAAGTGTTCGATCTCTAGGAAAGGCGAGCAAAGAATCAAAACCTTGCCCTTGATAAAAAGAGATTGTTGCTTTCTTCCAGTGAATAAGCAGGATCCATCCCTGTCCCCTGATTCTTCCCGCTTTGTTGAATTGAATAGGTTGTTCTTTCTCGATCCGATCTCCTAGAGGAAGTGAGTCGCGAATCTCCTTGTTATGATGAGCGGGCCTTCCTTCCTTCTATCTATTAGGTTTTCAATCCTGGACCTCTTTTTGTCCCTCAACTCCGTTAATCCCAACATTCGAGGTTTTTTGTCAGATTGTAATCTTTGATTCGGACTGTAANACCTCTTTCTGTCCCTCAACTCCGTTAATCCCAACATTCGAGGTTCTTTGTCGGATTGCAATCTTTGATTCGGACTGTGAAACCCAATCAGAATGAATGTTGGTATTGCGCTTGCATCGCCCATCCTCTTTCAATCTTGTACTAGAAAATACAGTACAGTTATTGAGCTTCCCCTTCCTACGGGATCCGAGATCGGGTAGCGGCTCATTATTCGAATAATTGAAAATACATAATATCAATAGAATAGCCCGCTCTTGGATCAGATGATCTTGATTGAAAGAGGCAAGCCCTTTGTAAGTGAAATAAGGGATGATATCCTGACTCTAAGAGGAAACCCGAGAGCATNTAGAATAGCCCGCTCCTGGATCAGATGATCTTGATTGAAAGAGGCAAGCCCTTTGTAAGTGAAATAAGGGATGATATCCTGACTTTAAGAGGAAACCCGAGAGCGTTTAGGATTGAATCTTGAATCTTGGCAGAGTTAGCCCAGAAAGACAGATCCTGATATCAGCGCTTACCTCAATGGTGGGAGAGAGAGGGATGGCTTTTTGCCTTATTCACAACATAGGACGGAAGGAACAAAGACTATTTACTTTACAGGTCGCTTAATAGTGTGATAGTGAGAGAAGTTCGTCCCTTACGTAATTCCATTCGGTCAGGAATAGCAAGATGAGGAAAGAGTCTTAATATATGTAAATAGTCTTACCCTTGCGCTTAGCAACAGGAAGACTAAGGGTAGCTATCCGCCTTCATTCTTTCACTTACTGGACCGGATAGTTACGTAGGCACTTGACCTTTAGTCTCAGGTTCAAGTCTTAGTTCTGCTTGAATTGTACTCGCTAACGAAAAAGTAGTTGTTTTCTCTAAGTCGATTCCAAGACCTTTTTTTCGATTGGGTATGAGATTTGCCTTACTCGATGAGAGTACCGCTTGCTANTGTACTCGCTAACGGAAAAGCAGTTGTTTTCTCTAAGTCGATTCCAAGACCTTTTTTTCGATTGGGTATGAGATTTGCCTTACTCGATGAGAGTACCGCTTGCTAACGAAAGTCGTTTGTCTACTAGCTAAAGTTTTGATNCTCAGGTTCAAGTCTCAGTTCCGCTTGAACTGTACTCGCTAACGGAAAAGCAGTTGTTTTCTCTAAGTCGATTCCAAGACCTTTTTTTCGATTGGGTATGAGATTTGCCCTACTCGATGAGAGTACCGCTTGCTAACGAAAGTCGTTTGTCTACTAGCTAAAGTTCCGCTTTCCTCTATCTTCTATTCTGCTTGGCTTGCAACAAAGAGCTTGACTTTCAAGTAGTACTTCCCAGAACAATCAAAGAAGTAGCTTTTCTTCGAGTGCTGAAACTGTACGCATCTCCCGACATTTCACGAACGGTTTTCTTTCTCTAAGCTAAGTAACTTGACTTGAACAAAGACCTTCTTACCTTTAGGGCTTTCCCAACTGCCTTTAAAAAAAATGGTAAGCTCTTGCTCGCGCATTTAGGCTCTTCCCGGTTAGCTAAGGAATGAATAATTCAAAAGTCATTCATAGCAAGGGCAGTGAGCTTCTCTCGCTTTCTTACTATTCTTAGGAGGAAGACAAGTAGTGGACTGTACTGGGAATCTTAGTATCCTGTCTCTTTGGCTATTAAAGATATATATCCCAATAGTAACGATATTCATCACCTCTGTTACAAAATTCATGGTCAATCCGTTTTCGGGAAGACGATTCAGTGCATCAAATCAAAGAGACGATTGAAAATACCATTTGAGCTAGCCTTGTGATAAAGGAGAGTTCCAAATCATATTGAGGAAGAATCAAAGTCTTATCTGTAACCAAGAAACCTTCTCTCGTTAACAACCCTGATGCTACACATGTGTCATATATACGCGTGTAACATGTGAATATGTTCATTCACATGTTCACATCAGTGGTAGCTTGACCAAACAACAATTTATCCCTTCTCTAATAGCACGTCTCATTCATGTTCAAAGCAGACTGTCTTCATGCTCAATCAGTAGCAAGTTGACTTCATCCCCGGGGACCAGTCCAGCAGAGGACCCTTTGGACGGAAACGACTCTGTTATCTTGCATTCCTCATTCGCATTAGAGACAAACAAGCTTTCTTATTCGAAAAAGAGCTCTAGAAGTTCAGCACCACACGACCAGGTTCTCTCATCTCTTAATTAAGATATTTAGAAATCGAGAATCGTGAGACTCGCCCAACCTAGTAAAGGGGCTTGAATCGGTATTTTGTTTAGGGATAGACCCTACTAAAGAAAGGATGAGATATAGCGTTAACTCTACTTGTTGGTATTCGTTGGGATGNGGGGCTTGAATCGGTATTTTGTTTAGGGATAAACCCTACTAAGGAAAGGATGAGATATAGCGTTAACTCCACTTGTTGGTATTCGTTGGGACGCATGCTTGGCTAAGAGTTCTAACTGCTCTAGTTGAGACTGCTGCTAGCTTTCCAGCTACTGGATCACTAAAAGCTAATAATAGGGATCAAAACCTCACTGTCCTTATGAGTGGTAGTTATACGATTTCAATGTGTTAAGCATAAAACAAGCCTTAGTTCTTAGCCTGGATCCAACTCCTCTATGCTAGTTCCTTCTCCCTCTCTTTTTCGATATGGCAAGAAGACGTAACGGAACAAAGCCTTTATAGGGGACCAGGATAGTAGTTAGCCCTCTTGCTCTTAGATTACTCCTTTGTGTAGTAAGGATTCAAATCAAATGAATTACATCTAAGAGCTACAAGCAAANGCCTTTATAGGAGACCAGGATAGATAGTAGGTAGTTAGCCCTCTTGCTCTTAGATTACTCCTTCGTGTAGTAAGGATTCAAATCAAATGAATTACAACTAAGAGCTACAAGCAGATAAGCATAGGATAAGTAGTAACTACCTATAGAAGACTGCTTTCACTGGCCTTAGAAAACTACCAGCACAGGAAGGAAGGGAAGGGCTGTTCTGATGAGTCCTCGACAAGAACTTAAGGAGATGGAGCCCTATCAAGTCAAGTTAAGAATTCCTAAAGAAAGACCCCTTGTGCCATCCAGCTCTCCCAACCACAAAGAGAAGATAGCCTAGCATGCTCTAAACCTACAATCAACTAGCTACTTGCCTCAGTTGTCTCCTGAAAGAAGCGTGCAATCCGTCGTAGCTTATTCTCTCTATTCTGACTATTCCGTTCTACTCGACTTAAGGTTCGATCCCCCCATCGATCCATCCTTTCTATCTTCAAATTCTGTATCTAATAACATTTAGACATCTCCTTTTGTTGGGAAGTAAGGTACCTCGGCTGTCCAACCTTTATATCTCTTCCTTCTCAAGATAGGCTAACACGCGACTTATAGCANAAGGTTCGGTCCCCCCATCGATCCATCCTTTCTATCTTCAAATTCCGTATCTAATGACATTTAGACATCTCCTTTTGTTGGGAAGTAAGGTACCTCGGCTGTCCAACCTTTATATCTCTTCCTTCTCAAGATAGGCTAACACGCGACTTATAGCACTTTGAAGCTTATTGGGTAAGGGATCGTGTCCATCCATGAGGCTGATGAGTTATGTCTGGCGGCCATACTTTGATCACTCTATATTGGTATCCTCGACATCCCGATTTTCAGTGGGACATGGGAAGAGCATGTGCAAAGTCCCAGATCTGTTTCGGATGCCTGCCTTGAAGCACGAGGCTGAACTTGAAGAAGTGTGAATTCGCCAGTCCTTAGTATATCCAGGGTATGTTGGTTCAGGAGGACAACTAAGATCTGGAGTAGNCGCCAGTCCTTAGTATATCCAGGGTATGTTGGTTGAGGAGGACAACTAAGATCCGGAGTGGAGGCCATCATGAAGTGGCCAAGACCCAAGCCCTACAGAGGAATGAGTAAGGAAAGAACGTTGGAGTTTTGGTGGTGCCACCTGAACATTTCGAATTCTCCTGCAATTGCAACTCCTCTACGGAAGTGCACTCATCAGAATGAGGAAATGGTGTGGGGTAATGCTAAAGAAGGGTCCCCAGATGAGTTAGAGAATCATCTTTGTCATGCGGATTCTACCAGATCCCTTCCAGTTATCTTTCAAGCAATCGGAGGATCTTGAGCCAGTACAGTAAGTCTTGCTTCCTTCGGGGCTGTGGGAGCAGCGTTGTTGCAGGGAAAGCAACCTGTATGTTACCATAGTGACTTGGCTTTGGGGTGGTTTTCCGGGGCAGTCCTCAATTCTTCCACGTATGATAAGGCCCTGTACAGCCCAATTTAGTAAGGGAATAAGTGGGTGGAAATGCTACTTGAAAGCTCGGGAGATAAGCAGTGATTCATACTGATAATTGGCCATTGAAGTCTTTTCAAACGCTTCGGCAGGCCTAACAAAAGGAAAGAAAAATGAATTCCTTCCGATTGAAAGTCCATTAACTAACAACAACCGACACTTCTGGCTAAAATGTTATTTTTTGAACAGAGACAAGAAACTTCCATCTTTTTTCGTACTACTGGGACGGGAGTCAGTACATCCTTCTCTTTGTTTGACAATTTTGCTAGAAAGCTGAACAATCCTGAGAATGATTCTAGGGAGAAGGACAGGCCCGATCAAACCATGGATCTCCCCAAGTAGGATTCGAACCTACGACCAGTCAGTTAACAGTATACCACTATACTAATCAAATAAATGGTGGAGCAATTTCTTTTTTTTTTTTGCCTTGCCTTGCTTTATAGGCTTTTTCCATTATTTCTATCTCGCCCTCCTTATTGACAAAAACATAACGAAAAAAAATGGAATTGTAAATCCCTTTTTCAAAGTACTATCGCTGTCACTTTTGCTACCAGATCTAACTCCTCCACTCTTTTCTTTTAGCGCTTCAGAGGTATTGGAAAGAACTACCTCTCCCTTCATCACTTCTGCATAGGCTGAATTTTCATACTTCGGGTTTGGCTTCCACATACGAGTCGACCCCCGTAGCTTCGGTCCCGTATTGTCTTCAGCATCTTTCAACTATGAAGGACCTTCGTCTTCTCCTATACGCCCTTGTTGTGAATGTCGACCAGTCTTCCAAGGACTCTTNCAGCATCTTTCAACTGTGAAGGACCTTCGTCTTCTCCTGTACGTCCTTGTTGTGAATGTTGACCAGTCGACTCCTTCTTCGTACTGTTGAACCTTGTACACTGTTGAGAACTATCGCCCTGTGACAATTCTCTTCCCACAACAAAGGGCTCCACCACTCTTGAAACAGTCTTAGATTGACTAGATCTACTTTCTGCCTCCTTTGACTCTTCTTACTTGAGAAAAAGATGAACCTCGCCTCCAAGCTCCTGATTATCTGGCAGTATAGTCTCTGACGTCTTTCTAAGAGAGGAACNCTCCTTTGACTCTTCTTACTTGAGAGAAAGATGAACCTCGCCTCTAAGCTCCTGATAATCTGGCAGTACAGTCTCTGACGTCTTTCTGAGAGAGGAGCTACGGACAAAAGTGGATAATCAGGCCATTTTCCTTTATCATTTGACAAGATCTTTCATCACCCCCTCTTATCATCATAATGACATGCCAAAAAACATAGAAAAATGGGAAAATCAACTAAAGACCTCTAAAAATAAGAAGCTTGCCTTCACGCCTACACCCTTAGCCAAGTCATCATTCCTCAAACAGTCAATCGTTTGTCTCTCGATCATCTGTCTATCGCTTAGTCTTATAACGAATGGTTATATAAGCGGGATCGGGTTTAGAAGGATCTTTAACAATCCCACAAACCACAACCCCTTACCCGCCTTCGGTTGGAAAAGGCCGAAAGGCGAGACCAAGAAAGACGTGCCATCAAGTCCACCAAGAAACCATGGACCAGATCTCTCTGATCCAGATGAATCTTCTAGGATCAGACACCTAAAAGAGACACCTAATTGACCCACCAAATCAAAAATCTTCCATAGAAGACCGAATCGAACGAGCTCAACGCTCTTCCGATTAGCCTTCCATTTCACATTCACAACTGGCACATCAAAGAAGGCCTTAATGGATACCCATGGATCCAGTACCATAGTACCAATGACAATAACGCAGCCATTCCCGCATCCATGCAAGAAGCATTGACCACTCAAGGAAGTCTTTGACCCCAGGAGTAAGAAAAAAGTGCACCTGGATTTTGAATCTTGTGGTTTCATCTCTTTCCTTAACAGTTGGATGATGACACCTCGAAGATATGGGCTTAAGGGCAGGCCTCGGCCTAGCCACAGCTCTAGACAGCCATGACCAAATAGAGCTTTATTCCACATCACGAAGAGACGTTCAGCCTTTGCGGACCTACAGTCTCTAAGCGAGACCGTTATCGGTACCCCATCCCTCCAACCCTACAGAGGGTCAAAAATCGAGCACACTTATACTTGTGCCCAATAGCGACCAATCCATAAGGATGAAAGAAGTTGCACATCGATCGGGCTGATACCTGACTTAAGTCCTTGGTAAGCCCTTTCACTCTAAATCGCTTCGCAAACTCAGCACCTCCCGAGTCAGATATCAGAGACTTTTGGTAACTGATACTAACATTCAGTCGATGAAGATTTGCCTCATAGACTTTAGCAACAGAACTGTCAGCGATCACTACGTCGTCACCAAGTACTACGTACTTAGTGAAGCGGACACCTGGATAAACCCTTTCCGCACACTACCACACCACTATGTGATGTGAGAGTGCAAAGAGCGGCCATGAAGAGTAATACCCGAGCGGTTGTCCCGCAACAAAAGATACGGTCGACGGCCTACGCTTAACCCATGGAACTTCAAATAAGTTAAGCGCAAGTGCCAAACGCACAGATGAAGCGAACGACCGCACGAAAAATCATTTTAAGTGGGGTGGGTCTAGTTTAAAGTATAGATCCTGGTTCGGGTTGATTCATTGTACCACTTTATTCATATTTCGATGACAGGCGTTTAACCATAAGTAAGTGAACCAGATCAATTAGGTACGGTCCGACGTAAGTAAGCGGGGACAGCCTTTATCAGCAAAGTGGTCTCATAGCACTTCCCTCGGATTTAGCCAAGGAAGGCACAACGTTGATACACAGTTCATTGATAAATAAACCATGTCACAAGTTTAGCTAAGCAACTAGTTAGTTCAATCAGGACTGCCCTATTGCAACCTAGGGATCACCTGGTGAATGGTCTCAAGCAAGCATTAAGAAGTGCTCGTGTATTCCACTCTACCTCGAGAAGATGAGCTTGCTGAGTTGGAGATATGTGTATAGAGGCAGGAAGAGAGAATGGGAAAGATGGCCGAGTTTCAACAACTGAACCTAGCCCGAGGGAATGTAAGTGAACAAGGGGGGCAGTTGGCTCGTAAGCTCAATTTCTAAAATCATCGAATCGATAAGGGTCGAAATAGAAAAAAGAACAGCTTTTTAGGCGGGTTGAACACGCTCTTCGGGTCCCAGGTCATGATACCGATCAAACGTTTGATTTTTTTTTATGCCTGAAATTGACATACATCTATCTAAGTAGTGTTCGAGATTCAGATCAGAAGGCTCGAGAGACCTCTATCTAATAAGGGAGTACTAGGGTTGGTTTTCAACCCCTTGGTGATCCTTTTTGTCTTGTTTCCGCTCCTCTAGTAAGGTAATGGAATCGAATTAGGTTAGCTCTTTCTAGTCGGCCCCCTAAGCCTAATTCCTGAAAGAATGGAATGGTATTCGCTAGCCTTTCAACCATCGACATATCTGTTCCCCGATCCAAGAGCCCGATCCTTCCACACCCGAGCAAACCAAGTCACGCGTTGCAGGGCCTGCTCTCGCATTTCTTTAATTAGATCACTCCAGTTCGTGATCCGTGGAAGGCTTTGATCTTTTCTTCCTGNGCCCGATCCTTCCACACCCGAGCAAACCAAGTCACGCGTTGCAGGGCCTGCTCTCGCATTTCTTTAATTAGATCACTCCAGTTCGTGATCCGTGGAAGGCTTTGATCTTCTCTTCCCGATTCCTATACCATACGCATCCATCCTCATCTAGAGCAATACTGTGTCCACCTTCATGAACTAAGGGACATGCGCCAGTTTAAAGTCAAATTCCATAGCCACCCCAAAGATAATTATGAACCCAAAAGAGCAGGAGCAGGTTCGGGCCCATCTAGCTCAGCTTGTTATGGCGAGACAAGCAAAAGCCATCTTTAGGGCTGGCATTGAATGGTACACCCCCTTAGCTCAACTCTAAAAAGCTTTATACGCTCAATAGCGCGGTGTTTAAGGCAAAGAAAATGACTAGGGACGTAGGCTCTTTCCTAACACACAAGCTTCAAACTAAACTCGCAATAATAAAAACACAAAAAAGGCCACTCAGCGCGCTTTCAACGCTCGCCTATTGACTAGGGGCATTGAAGCTCACCTTATAAACGAGTAAAAAGGATGAACATANACACAAGCTCCAAACTAAACTCGCGATAATAAAAACACGAAAAAAAAAGGCCACTCAGCGCGCTTTTAGCGCTCGCCTACTGACTAGGGGCATTGAAGCTCACCTTATAAACGAGAAAAAAGGATGAACAGAATGAGTTTCATAATCAGTTGAAAAAGAACTAGCCAAGCTTCTTCACAAGCGAAGAAAGGGAGACGAGACTAGACGGATCTACTACAAGAGGTGAAAGCACTTTGTTGCTACTGGCTTTCAATCTCGATCTGCCAACTGTCAATCTAAAAGAGGCCTTGCTTCTTCATCCGTATTAGGATTTGCCTTGCTTGGTCAGGACTAAGTAATAAGCGACTAAAGAATCTGCCTTTAGCTCCATGGCTCTAGCTAAAAAGTCCAAAAGGACTAGTGTTTGACCACGATCCCTTCTTCTCCCGTTGCACACGCAATAAGCCTTAATTATGGAAACCCTTTCTCCACCCTACAACCCTGTACGTAGTCTATTTTCTTCTTTTTTTCCCCCTTATATGTGCTTGTTCATTGGATTGAAGTGCGCGATAGATGCTTCTGACCGAACTGCTCTTTGGTTTGACCTACATCGATAGAACACATCTTTGTTGGTGAGACAAGAGAGGTATTGGAAGAAAGTTTATTGGTGGTGATAAACAGCTATTTATAGATGAATATAAAGAATTTATACCTGAGAAAACTCAAACCCTTCAATGATCGACTTGAAAGTAAAGGACAAGTCAAAAGTTTTGACGGATGATGATGACACTCGAATGACAATAGTGAAGCAAGCACGCGGCATATGAAGTAAATGCTTTTAGTAGGTGTTCAGTAGGGTCAAGGAAGCGAATAGATGAAAGTGAGGAATTGAGTGGTTTATTTCAGTCTAACTTTGTTACTGTATCCCGGTCTCACTCGGACAACGTACTATCCTAGACCTCTGTCTATCCCGACATTGATAGAAATTCATAGTTAGGTTAGCCAGCCCGGTAACCTCGACAAGTGGGAGTAGCAATAACACAGGACCGTCAATCAATAAGATCAGTGACAAGAAAGATGGATTTTCTCCCTCTCAGCTCAAACCACTCCCAGGGAGAACGAAGTGAACAACTAAGGTTCAAGGATGAAGAGGATTTCCCAGAAAGAGCCGTAATAACCTCACTTGAGACCAAGAAGCAAATTCGGCAAAAGAGACCAGGATTCAGCAAGTCACATCTGATGTAGAACAGTTGAAAGAACAAGTGAAGGAGATAAAGTGCCTCATGGCAACCCTGGTCAAGACACAGAAACCCCTATGCAAGAACAATCCAGTAAGCTATCAGAACAAGGCAAGGGATTCCAAGATAACTATCCTCCTGTCTACAACAGCTTCACTGATTATGTCAACTCGCAGATGTCGACAATAGGTAGGGCGAGGTCATGGCAAGACCAAAAATCCCTATTTGGGATGAGAATCAATCCTAAGAAGCTCCCTGGAGAAAGGAAAGTCAATCTAGAACAAACATCTTTTTTCGGTGATCTTAAGGAATTCATCAATGATATGCAGCTAGGGCTAGGAGGAGATGGGAACAACGAAAGTTCAACCTATTGCCCATTTCATGGCTACAATTGTTATTGCATCTTGCGCCCTCAATCCCGAATTGGATTCCAAGGAAACGTGACCCAAATGTCAGATGCAAACATGGGGGCCCCNTGGCTACAATTGTTATTGCATCTTCCGCCCTCAATCCCGAATTGGATTCCAAGGAAACGTGACCCAAATGTCAGATGCGAACATGGGGGCCTCAGACACCCGACCAAACGTTGCGTTCACCTGGAAAGCAAGAGACAAATCAAGATGAGAGAGAAGTACAGGCTATCATGATTGGGCAACCTCCCAAAGGGGATTTCTCCAGGATTCGGCCGATCCATACAGCTCGCCAACAAGTCCAACCAATGCAATTGCAAGTCCAATCCAGGGCAACCGCTCAAGCTCAATCCACCCCAGTCAGATATATGGGAATAGAGGAGCACACCGAAAGTGTGACCCATTACTAGCCCTTCCGTCACAGTTGCTCCTAGAGTTGGTAGCAGCCAACCTCATCAAGCCTATACCACTTAGGTCGATACCAAATCCACCACCCAAGAATTTCACCCCAAACGCACGTTGTGAATATCACATGGGTGGAGAGGGACACTGGACTGATCAATGCTACAACCTTATCCCTCATTGATCAGCACCTCTAGGACCCATCCGTCAAAGGCCTCGTGGAAATCACTCCCCAAAAAATAAATTTTGGTACCACTGAGGTCATGCCAATAACTGGTAATCATTTTGTGAAGGCTTATCTGTGTTACATGTATACGCGTGTAACATGTGCTAATATTCTTTTTGAATTCACATGTTCACATCAGTTAGCTTGAACAAATCACTTTATCTCCCACGCTGATAGTACCCTAAACGTNGTGCTAATATTCTATGTGAATTCACATGTTCACATCAGTTAGCTTGAACAAATCACTTTATCTCCCACGCTGATAGTACCCTGAACGTCAAGCACAAGGAATGAATCTGATAATCAGCCTCTCGGAATGCGATCTCCGTTTCACCTCGTATTCCTCTAAGGTCGTACACCCGACTCTAGTAGAGCCTTTGGGGCCTTGAGCTACTAACAAGGATGTTAACTTCGAGAGCATGACGAGAGACAGGCTTATCCGACTCAATAGCTCGCGTTGTTCAGTCGAATGAATGTGAATTGAAACCTCTCCGAATGCTCCATCCGTTGCCAGTTGCCTTCACCTCCGGGTTCTCGGTCTACGACTCTTGGGGCAGAGCCTACTAATAACTGATACATAAAGGCGCACCGAGCTAATAGAGCTAGAGCTACTTAGACCATTCCCTTCTGGAATGGAGAGAAGGGCAAGCCAACTAACCTTTATGAAACTAGCGGTGCAGGGAAGGAGAAGAAGCTACTTCACCTAGAAGACTAGTATGTGCCAAAACTCACTTCTATTTATTAGACTGGACGCTACTATACGCATATGGTAGTGTTCCTGAGATTGTCATGGAAGGAATACTAACATTCTTCGCCTTCATCAAAGATGGTGGATCGTTATGTCTAAACTTCTTGGCGCCTCCCCTTACTGACACTCTAAGGCTAAGGTGGTGTCAATCAAGGTTCTCACATGAATAGACGTTTGAATATTCGCTTAGTACTTTCACCTTCGATCACTCGAATTCGTCGTTCACCTTCTCAACGAAGCCTACTCGAACTTCTCCCTGCCACCATACCTGAATGAAAGAAACGAATAGCTAGAAAAACAGGCTATTCCATCGTTGGCATAAGATGAACCGAGGAATCCAACCAAATAGGAATGAATAGCTATATATAAGGGGAACTGCTTGCATTGATTCAATTGATTGGAAGCGGTGGTTATACATACAGACAAATTNCGTTGGCATAAGATGAACCGAGGAATCCAACCAAATAGGAATGAATAGCTATATATAAGGGGAACTGCTTGCATTGATTCAATTGATTGGAAGCGGCGGTTATACATACAGACATAGTTTTCACTAGGGGTTTTTTCTGTCCTGAGGGTTGGTCGAAGCAACCTCACCAGAAAGCCACTCTTCCAGAGTCTCGTCCATCGTCTGCTTAGGCGACTATTTAATAGCCTTTAGCTCTGTCTGTGAGTTAGGCTACTCTACTACACTATACTATAGGCTCCTTCATCTTACTATACTATACTATACTATAGGCTCCTTCATCTGTTCTTTTTAAGAAAAACTCAACCTGGTTTCAATGAATCCCCAAAGAAGCCATGACCTATTTGATCCTTCAGCCTTCAGCATTGAGTCAAGAAAAGAAGAATTGGATCCGGGTGGAATCTTCACTTTCATGAGCAGGAGCTGGAGTTTAGGAATCGGGTGTAGATGCTGGCCATTCCATAGATGAGAAACCTACTGACCCACTAGTGGTTTTCTAAGGGGAGTTGATAAAAGACAACAGGTTCAAGACAAAGCGCACGGAGATGAAGCGAAAGCACAAGGCCAATTCTCATCAACTGAGAGCTCCACTCCAAGAAAGGGAAAGCAGCACAATCCGTTANGTTCAAGACAAAGCGCACGGAGATGGAGCGAAAGCACAAGGCCAGTTCTCATCAACTGAGAGCTCCACTCCAAGAGAGGGAAAGCAGCACAATCCGTGAGACCTATGAATGCTTTGAATGAGATCTATTAGGCCTTTGACCATTCCAAATCCATATAGAACAGTAGAGTCGAAGAGAAAGCGCCTTTGATTTCCTTAAAGAAGGAATCCACTGCGCCTTCATCAACCAAATGGGAATCCAGGTGAGAGCTGTGGCCGGGTACGAACGATGGGGCGTCGAGTTCTAGAAGTCTCATGTTCGGAATGTGGGAGAGCTCGGCTTGGGGACGGCCTAAGAGATTTTTGATAACCAACACGTAGCATGCGCTGGAAGGATGGATAGGGTCAACAAACTACTAGTGGCACTTTCCTAATCGAGATTCCTGTGGGCCGGTGGGCTTATGTACCTGATATTCATCTTAGTTCAGTTGCTTTCTACCTACTGCTCCTCCTGTTGCCTTTAATTGTGTCGAAAATGGTGCCTGTTGCATGTGGCGAGCGGGACAGAGGTCAGAGCCTATTCAAATAGAAAGATTCCTACCACCTGCTCCAACTGCTAAAAAGAGTGACGAAAGAAAGCGTTCAAAAGTGAGGAAAGAAGAGGATCTCCGTTGAGTTACAAGAGAAGAAGGTATAGTTACAAATAACATAGTGGATCGGAGGTCGAAGAGATCGAAGACAGAAGAGAACAAGAGCAGTGTTGGTTTTAGAGAGATGTTTTCTTTTTCAGAGCAGAAGTCAATGTCAATTTAGAGACCAGGGTTAATTAGTGGCCAGAGGTCAAGGGTAAGGGACGAAGGTGACGGTTCAGGTTGTGCCGGCGCCGATTCCTATAGTGACAAATGATTCAACAAGCTATCTCACTCGCAAAGCTAATATAGCCCGCACGTCGAAGGGGAAGCTTCGAGAAAAGTGGGAACGTTCTACTTTATATGAGTGGAACGAGTTACGAGCTTCTAGCTCTTTAATAACATATGTTCTTGTGATGCTTATTGCTAAAAATGAGCTAGAACTTTGACGATGAATTGGATAGGGACCTTTGATGCCTTGAGTTGATTACATGCAGTTATAGCACGTTTTAAAGAGCGTCGTCTAATATCAGTGATCATAGACCGAAGAGGAGATAGTGACCAGGCAGACGAGAGTGGACTTCGGAAAGCAAAGCTGACCTAATCTTTCGATTTTGATTGCTTAGCTTGAGAAAGGAAAGGGACAGATGGGCTAGTTTCCATAGACTAGTGAGTAAAGTTGACTCAATTATGACCAATGACCCGAGGTAATGCAGAGTGAGTTGACTGCCTTTCCAGTCCCAGTTGTTCCAGGAATGCCCGTTGCCCATTCTTTATACGAGACAGAGCAGAATGCCAGTGATGGTTGTGCCTGTGCCCCTTGGAAGGAGAAAATACACTTTGAAAGTCCTATGCCTTTCAAGAAATGAGTCCAGCTGCAAGGAGAAATAGACTAATTTAGTGAAATCTGGCATCTGTTCTTTTGAACGAATTTGGTGATAGTCCTTCCTTGGCTTCTGCTTGAGATTGGTTTGGTCGAGGTCGAGATTTTCTTGGTCTTCTTTTCTTTGTACCCATAGATCGGAGAATGTGAAAAGCTTTCTCTATCCGCTAGGTGCATCTCTTCCTTAACTCTTGTTGAGTAAGATGTTCTTCTTCTCTTATGAAAGCCACATCTTTTTCTTTTTTGACTTCTTTCTTCCAGTGGACGGACTCTCTTACTCTATTCCCTTTCTCTCTTTTGCCGAGTCTACCATATTCCTTATTCTGAGGGCTTTGTTTATTAACTTGCTTAATGCATAGTGGATCAAGAGAAGACTATTGAAGTGCTTGCATGCTTCCTTTAAGCTTGCTTTGGTACCGGACTACTTTAATTCATCAATAAGACTTTCGAAACACAACTCTATAACTTGGTGCTGGCCTATCGGACTACTACTAGCTTGAATTCGCTCAGTAGAGTACTGGCTTCCTTGCCTTAATGAATGAGCTTTCAGTGCATGCTTGGTGCTTTCTTTATGAAATAACATACTTTTAAATAAAACAACTAGCTTACATCAGCCTCCTTCTGACCCTTGCTTACTGGATGAATAGTTTCTAAAGAGAATACCGGAGAATAAGAACGATAATGAAAGAGCTTCCTCTGCCGGATGGTTAGCCTTAATTGCTCGCTCCCTCTCGCCTTGCTTTCTAATCACCACTAGCTTGAATGAGGATACTCTTTCTGAACTACTAGCTTTCTTAACTCCCTTTCTTAGTGGGTTAGGGCAGTCTGGCTTATGGATCGGGAGCTAATGCTTCCTTGCTTGCCTTACGAGACTCTTTTCGCTTTCTATATGGCCATCACGGTCTGTATTGATTCTATTTCATACTTGATAAAGACAACTAGCATTAAAGAGCTTAGTAGTCGTCTCCCGCTGGTCTGGTCTCCCTTTCTTTTAAGTTTTAGGATCTTCTTAAAGAGCCATACCAAAGTCTTATAGTATTCTTAATACTATTTTGTTTAAACTAAACAACTATAACAAGCTCAATATAGACAAAGGCTGGTGAGGTGGGTANATGAACAGAATGTCCAAGGATTGAGCTTGTTCATAAGCTTGCCAAGCTTATGAACAAGCTCAATATAGCCAAAGGCTGGTGAGGTGGGTAAGGGCAAGGGCATTGAGGCTTTCGTTTCGGGGAAGGGGTGGAAGACTGACCTTGATAACGATGTTTTAGGTGATCCCTGGAATCCGATTTTCTATTTTATTTCAATACAATAGTAGGCAGGGCTAGCCGGGAAGGTAGCACAAAAGAGCATCCGGCATAGATAGTGAATGAGCCCTACTGAGGACGGTTGGGTTGGGAAGAGAATAGCATACGAAGATCGAGTAGAGGTAGTAGTTGGATTGTTCGCATGTGTCCTAAAAGGTGCCCCATCCGGTTGTTATTGAAGCAATTCAAGCAGGTAACACCTTGAGCAGTCCAGTCCTGAGAATACTTCCTATAATTGTTTACCACGAAAGGGTAAAAAGATTAGAAACTAGCTAAAGACCAGCTACGTATCAAGGGCTCGGGCCTCAACGCATCCTTTATGAGTTGACTAAGTTTCTATTAGTAAAAAATCTTTGTAGAGGCGATTCCCTTGGTCTACTATCGATGATTTTCTTAGAAGAACTGCGGCAAGTTTGAAAGCATGATTTGTGAAGCTTGAACAAGCGCCTCTCCGGTGGGGTATCTATAGAAAGCGGATTCTCCTCACAACGTGGTCAAAATGGCATGATGAGAACAAATGGTAGGAATGACCAGGAATTCATCTTAAAGTATGTGTCATAGGCTGACCACACGAGTGGATCTGGCAGGGTATGGTCCCTCGCCTCTATGCCCCTTTCCTTCATGGGATCGCCCGATTTCCATTGAGATGTTCCTCCCCACCCGGGTAAAGTCCCGGTTTCTATTTCTATACAGAGAGATGCCCATCAGATGAAAGTTTTTTACGGTCTCCAGGATTTTAATGACTATTCTATTTTCATAGGCAAGACTAACTAGTAGTTCCAAAGAAAGGAGCATCTGGCATAGGCAGCAAGCCTTCCCAAGGCTTTCACCGGATGATCGGTTCTTTTTTCTTTCACATGTAGGTTCCTCCGCAGCAAAGATGGTTGGCTTGTGCTCTTACTTGGAAGTGGTCTCAGTTGTGAAGTCAATATAGAGGGTGGTCCTCCTAGCTAGGAAGCAGTTGATTCATCTTACGATTTGTTTTTACTACGTATCATTAAGAACTTGAATACTAGTTCCTCAATCGAAAGTCAAATCACCAAGCAAAAGTTAGGAATTGGGCACCGGAGAATGAAACTTTGACAATCTGGATGTTGTCAAAATGAGAGTTTCAGGCACCTTGTGGGGAATCATTCGATGTCAAAACCATGTTATATAAAGAGTCTTTCCCACTACATATATCTTCCATCCAAAGGGCAGTTACATTTATCAGATATAGTAAGAAAACCCTTGTTCTCGGTAGCTAATCTTGACTATGAAAGCAGTCTTATATAGTTAGTTAGTCCTGCCTATAATGTCAGAAGTAAGGCTGTTCTCCTTTCCTCCTATGGTTGGTCATAGATCATGCAAGAAAAGAAGCTAAGCCTAAACGTCCTTATGCCACTAGAAGAGATACAGGAAGGAATTCTTAAACATACTACAGGAAAGACAGCTATCTTCTCCTAGCTTCCATCCCCTTTCCTTGCTTATCTATCTTGAAGCCTTGGAGAACTAAAAGTGAGGGAAGGAATTNCTACAGGAAAGACAGCTATCTTCTCCTAGCTTCCATCCCCTTTCCTTGCTTATCTATCTTGAAGCCTTGGAGAACTGAAAGTGAGGGAAGGAAGTAAATGGGATAACCCTAAGAGAGATTTCTTATCAGCTCTTCGCTAGCATCCATATTGGCTTAGTAATAAAAACCTCAGGTTTAGCTTATTCCCGAACCTCCCGTAGTGCCATCCGAATGCAAATAACAAAGAAGAACAACCTCATACAGTCTTATCTATCTTTGCGTGGAATTACCTTCAAGAAAGCAACTATAGTAAGAAATACCTTACACGAGTCACTCTAGCTAGGAGCTACCTCGCAACACTATACTTTAGGAACTGACAGTGAGTTAAATAAAATCAAAGAGAGGGAGAAGTGGTTCAGTGTGCTATTCAGAATCTTTCGCGGCCGTGGAATGTTAAAGGTAATCTTTTCATTTTGAAGCCATAAAATTCAGGGGGGAAAGCTCCTGGATTGAACTACTCCAAGTTCTGTCCTTTCCACAGATATCACGGTTANATCTTTTCATTTGGAAGCCCTGGAATTCGGGGGGGAAAGCTCCTGGATTGAACTACTCCAAGTTCTGTCCTTTCCACAGATATCCCGGTCATGACTTAGAGTCATGTTACACTCTCAAGGATCTGATTTATGACTTGAATGATCAGAATCGTCTCAATTGGAAGGAAATAGAGGCACATGTGACAGGGCAGAATCAAGGAATTTATCAGAACCCTTTGCCGGATCACCAAGCATTATGTGAACAGACCAGAGAATGGAAATTGTTCGGTCCAGGAACCGCTTATTGTGAGAAAGGCTCAAAGCATTACTACAGTGGAAGTACAAAGGCCGATAGAAGCACCCACATGTCAAGTACAGTCGATGGTTGAAGACAGGAACTTCCAGAAGCAGACGGCAACATGCGTGTATGATGACATCTTCGACGAAGACTCCTTTTCTTTTTAGATAAAGCAATACATTGTTCCACTTGAGAAGATGAAGGCCAGAAATGCACCATCAACCACAGTACAATCTCCACCGCCATCAGCATTGCCATTTCAGCATAATTTGGTGAATCCGGTCTCCAAGATCATAAAGTCTCCGCCACCATCCGAAGTTCCACAACCACGGGTTATCATTCCGCCATCTANTGCCATTTCAGCATAATTTGGTGAATCCGGCCTCCAAGATCATAAAGTCTCCGCCACCATCCGAAGTTCCACAGCCACGGGTTATCATTCCGCCATCCAGCGTGTCGACGAAAGAAGCTTGAATTTCAATGCAAATTCTAGCAAAGTTAGAGACCCTCATTGTACTGGTGGTACTATCCAAGTAGAGAGGATTCCCAATATTGCTTCCTAGGTATTCCATTCCTTCCGGTGTCCACAAAATCAGAGGAACATTATCAAACTTAACCCTTTATAAAATAAGATACTAGCAAAGTTGCTTTTGGAGAGATGCTCTCCCGGTTGATTGGCATTTCTTAAGAATCAAAAGCTTCCCTGTTATATGGTATGGTCCTACGTCTAGGATANAAGCTTCCCAGCTATATGGTATGGTCCTACGCCTAGGACAGCATTGCCATTTTCTTCACTCCTCCATTTAAAAACATAGAAGCCATTATCAAGGAGCATGACATCTTCAAGAGCTTGCTCCCAAGTCTTAGAAGCCCATTCTTTCACAAGATTCAAAGGGAGTGCCTTGTTCAAGTAAGCAAGGAAATACCCTACCACAACATTTTTCCATCTCTTATAGCCTATTTCTGTAATCCCATTAGGTATGTTATAGACTCCTTCTTTCATGGGCTCAATATTCTGTTTAGTAAGCTTAATCAACCCTACATCAAATAAGGCTCTTTAACATCTCTTTCTTATGAAAAAAACTAGTCCAAAAAAGAGGCTTACCTAAAGCAATATGAAGTTCATGGCCGGAGGAGGGGCTGATAGGCCTTGCTTCAAGTCCACAAGAGGACCTAGGTCCACTCCTTTGGTCTTCTTCAATCAACTTGGTAGTGACAGATTTTCCAACTAGGCAGTCACCTATTTCAGATGGTGCAGGGGCTACAGAGTGTGCAGACTGTGAATTTTTTACAATATTAGAGGTTTGGAACCCTCCTTCAGCCTCTGGAAACGTTCCCCCCTTAGCTTCCTAATCTTCACCTTCTATAACAACATATGCTTCTTCACTTTCAGATTCAACACAAATTGAACATACAACATCGCTCCCACAGGAGCACGTAACAACGGACGGCTCCTCGTCATTTTCTTCTCCATTTACATTCTATTGATCGGCTGGAGTATTCGAAGATTCCAGACAGTCATCTCCAATCCCTCCTCCATTTCCAACTTCTAGAGCAACAGATATTTTCTCAGACCGGTACAATCCCACCTTCAAGGGCTACATTGACACACTGTCGGTCCAAGACTGAGACAACCATCGCTTGCTCAGTACCAACGGAATAATAACCCAAATTGTTCAGATTGCTCTTTAACTACGGGAAATCTTCCTCATAATTATCAAACACATTGGCCCTTTNATTGCTCTTCAACTACGGGAAATCTTCCTCATAATTATCAGACACATTAGCCCTTTGCATTCTTCTTCTGCATTCTTCTTCTTAAATGACTCATATTGTGGGATGAATCATTAAACCAATACTATTTGCTACCAAGAGAAGATCTCTTACGGCTCTTTTCTCATAGCGAAGCGACGGAGAGCTCTTTGTGGGTGGTAGCGAAGCGAAGGAAAGAGCTCGAATAAGTGTAGCCGCACTCCCCTTCTTGTATCCCTGTAAGCCTAATTCCTTTTCTTGCCTGGAAGCTCTCTAAGGTAGCTCTTAACTGGAAGTTCCTAAGTGTTCTAGCACGATAGGATGGATTCTAACCAATAATATATGGTATCTAGTCGCAGAGCTGAGGATAGATAGAATGTCTTTCTTGGGTTTCGAGAAGGAAGAGTGAAGAAGCAGAAGACCTACCAGTTGCAATGCATATCTAGGGGATTCGGTTGTAAGATGTGCTTATTGAAAGATAGGATAGACCTTTGAAGGTCCTCTAGTTAGCTTCTTCAATAAGTCTAAAAGGAAGTTTTCTTACCCTAGGTTGGTTGGGGAATGAGATAGCGGAGGCAATCTCCTAAGCCATAAGAGAGAAGGATAGAGGAATACCTTGACTTGACTGCAAGCTCTATAAAGGTTCATTTGCTTCCTCTCTTTTTGATTTGTTCTCTGAGTGAGTTACCTTAGGGACCCAGCTTGACTTCCTTTCCTTGCCCGCAAGCCCCTATAAGGTGTCTATCTAGAAGAAGAAACATATAGTTGATTGATCTTTCTTTTGAAGTTTATAGAAGCTAAGGGCAGGCAGGAGACAATAGTTTGCCACGAAAATGATGGAAGACTGGTTCAAGTAATCCTTTAGTGAAAATGTCCGCTACTTGATTGTTGCTACGAACAAGTCGAATGAGCAATTTTTCGGTGACGACGAGGTCACGAACGAAGTAGTAGTCAACTTCTATGTGCTTAGAGCAGGCGTGGAACACAGGTTTAGCCGCCAAGTGTGTAGCGCTAGCATTATCACAGTGCAGGAGAAATTGATAGCGAAATGGCACCGCTAGATCGCGTAGCAAGTAAGAAAGCCATAATAGTAGCGCTGTTCGTAGGAAAGCTCCGAGTTCCGTAAAATAAGAAGTGGTGCCCTTCCATCTCTAGCAGGTCTGGCGCTCACGTAACCGACAGTGAAAGATCTGTCACTTCCAGGGGGAGCTCTGTTATGAGTGGGCTTTCTTTTGTTGATCAAGAACCTCGAATGCCATAGCAAAAGTGCATCCATTCCTTCGTATCGCTCCCCCTGACTGTAACTCTTTCGCTTGTTCATTAGGGCTCTATGATAGGGGCGAGGCAGTCACTTACGGGGAAAGCTTATCTCTATATTTTCAGCAACTGAACAGTTGATGCTTTGGCTGAACGCCTACGTCAGCTATGGCAGATGAATGATGACCTTAGATTAAAGGAATTCTAATAGCTTAGCACNCTATGGAAGATGAATGATGACCTTAGATTAAAGGAATTATTATAGCTTAGCGCTTGTGCTAAGGAAGGGAATGTAGTAATAGGTAGCTAGACTACATGAGGGATAAAGATAAGAGAAAGAAGGATAACTACTAGCTACAGCTACCTAGAAAGATAGAATAGATAGGATTGGATAAGAAATAAGAATAATAGGACAATCGGACTATTAAGAGAAATAATAATTGAGACACAAGATAGTCCGCTACTTAGATAGGAGAAAGAGAACTTCTAGAATGGGAAAGTCAGAAGACAAGCTCGGCTGGGGGAGAACTACTAGCTAGATAAGATAGGTCAAGGGCAGTCCTGAGAGTAGGAAAGACATATTCTAATCGACGGAGAGCTTATGGGCCAGAAGCGCGAGGAAGGGTACCACGGCCTAGGGAGAGAATACCATGATTATCTGTCCTTTCTTCCTACTAGCTACAAGGACCTAACAGCTGATTTATCAAAAGTGGAGAATCACCCGAAAGCAGAGAATAGGTTACAACNCCATGATTATCTGTCCTTCCTTCCTACTAGCTACAAGGACCTAACAGCTGATTTACCGAAAGCGGAGAATCGCCCGAAAGCAGAGAATAGGTTGCAGCTCTTCTCTCTCTTGAAAGTGGGAGTTTGGTTAGTAGATAGATGGTCACATACTGAGTGTATCGATAGCTAAGCGTGATCGGTAGGAGCTTTCGTAGTGAGCTCCGGCCCCATGTCTGGGGTAGCAGTCTAAGCGTAGCAGAGCGAAGGCACTTTCTTCCCGGAGGGATTGCAAGGACCGAAATAGAAGGGGCGTCGAACTTCTTCTGCATCTCTTTCCCGAAGCGCGAAGTCGGTCTTTGTTTTGTTATTCTAGACCTAGATGCGATGCCCCTTTCGTGTCCTGAAAGAAGGGGCGACCTATTTCGATACGAAAAAACCTAACACCGACTTTGGGATCCACGAGAAAGAACCGAGTCTCCATATTCTTGACTTAGCTTTATTAGGGGGGGCTCACGAGAACGAGGCCGCAGGAGAGATTCTATAGAAGGTAATCCTGAAGGTAGGGAACTACCCTTCACCTTGTCCTAACATATACTCTACTTCTAGTTAGTAAATTAGGTAGTACGGGGGCAAGACCCTATTAGTCGATCTCTTTTCGTAATAGATCAACCTGGCGGCCCCATATCTCAACTTTCAGTAAAAAGAAGGGCGATCTATTCTTTTAAACCCAACACCCGACTTGGGAAAATAGATGAAGAAGAAGTTCGACGTAGGAGGGAGTCCCAAGAAGCTAATCCTTCACTTAGGGGGATACCTGGAAAGAGGTCCTGACATAGACTTTACTCCTACAACCCAAGGGTTCTCCTTTGCTCACCTGTCAGTACAAAGAAGGGGGACCTAGTTCTATCCTTTAAAACAAAAACCCGATTTTCAATAGGCTATAGGAGAAAGAAAGCCTAAGGCTATCTCTCAATAGAATAAATTAGCTAGTCAGGATGGGCTTAGGTAGCTGGAAGACTAGGAAAGGTAGGATGCTTTGGAACTATAACAAAGGGGATTCCTCGGGTATTGCTTGAGGACGGCCCGCATACCATTCCTAAGGAATGGAGTGAAGGGGAGGTGCCACACCTTAGTGACAGAGATGCGAAGGTATGAGTACTCTTTGGACAAGAAACAAAGGGCGACACTTGAAATGGAGCTGCCAGCCCGTAGTAACCTTGTCGGGAGTAGGAATCACTCCTTACCCCAAGGAAAAACCCGAACCCACCCCTTAGCAATAGCTCCAGCAGAAAGGATACGTGGGGAAGTCTATACTTAGAGGAAATGCATCTCAAGTACATCAATTAGCCCTCTCTTTTGGGAATAAACAGACTAAAGTACCCAAAGTGGCTTTGGTATTTCAGTGTACTTGACAGCTTCTATTGCCGAAAAGGGGCACCTCTGGGGAGTACTTGATCCAAATTTATTTCACACTGGATAAGGCCAACTGAGATTCTCCCCTTCCGCCGCTCTTGAGCACATCGCTTCTACGGTCCACGGCTAAAGGAAGAATCGAGAGCTGGTGCCCAGTTCCTCGGAGCTCTTCTGAACGTGCCATAACCTGTTCGCTATCAGCTGTCTGAGCAACGCGTTGAGCATGAGGGAGAGCACTCGCTTTAGATCACCTCTTTCTTTGTCCCTAGAAAGGAGATCCCAATTGGCAGAGTATCCCTTCCATATCCAATCGTTAGAGATCAAGCAGATCCGGGCCTTGTGTCAGCCTCGCTTCACAATGAAGGTAGGAGCACAGCCTATTTTGGATCCTCTAGTCACATAGGAGCAAGCAGCAGGAGCTTATTATCTCATTGACTTATAACCCCCATCAGCATCAGAGCTAGCAGCTCGAGCATCTTCTCGCATCTGAGCAAGTATCCGTTTCAGTTTTAGTTGCATTTGAACCCTAAAAGGCTTCGGCTAAGGCACATGCATTTGACCGAGTTTACCAAGCAGCGTCAGAGGCAGCAGGCGCAGATCCCTTTCTGTCTTTCCTCTTACCTTTGAAGTAGACTTTGAACCCGAGTCATTCCTCTTTCCTGCTCTTGCTTGGGGATGTAGACCCTTTACTTAACTTAACTTACAGGCTTGATCTGATCGATAACTTAACTTAACTTAACTTACAGGCTTGATCTGATCGATCTATCTAATTGGTTATTGGAATGCGGTTGAAAGATCGGAGGNGAGAGCTGGTGCCCAGTTCCTCGGAGCTCTTCTGAACGTGCCATAACCTGTTCGCTATCAGCTGTCTAAGCAACGTGTTGAGCATGAGGGAGAGCACTCGCCTTAGATCACCTATNGGTATTGCTTGAGGACGGCCCGCATACCATTCCTAAGGAATGGAGTGAAGGGGAGGTGCCACACCTTAGTGACAGAGATGCGAAGGTATGAGTACTCTTTGGATTGGATTGGACAAGAAACAAAGGGCGACACTTGAAATGGAGCTGCCAGCCCGTAGTAACCTTGTCGGGAGTAGGAATCACTCCTTACCCCAAGGAAAAACCCGAACCCACCCCTTAGCAATAGCTCCAGCAGAAAGGATACGTGGGGAAGTCTATACTTAGAGGAAATGCATCTCAAGTACATCAATTAGCCCTCTCTTTTGGGAATAAACAGACTAAAGTACCCAAAGTGGCTTTGGTATTTCAGTGTACTTGACAGCTTCTATTGCCGAAAAGGGGCACCTCTGGGGAGTACTTGATCCAAATTTATTTCACACTGGATAAGGCCAACTGAGATTCTCCCCTTCCGCCGCTCTTGAGCACATCGCTTCTACGGTCCACGGCTAAAGGAAGAATCGAGAGCTGGTGCCCAGTTCCTCGGAGCTCTTCTGAACGTGCCATAACCTGTTCGCTATCAGCTGTCTGAGCAACGCGTTGAGCATGAGGGAGAGCACTCGCTTTAGATCACCTCTTTCTTTGTCCCTAGAAAGGAGATCCCAATTGGCAGAGTATCCCTTCCATATCCAATCGTTAGAGATCAAGCAGATCTGGGCCTTGTGTCAGCCTCGTTTCACAATGAAGGTAGGAGCACAGTCTATTTTGGATCCTCTAGTCACATAGGAGCAAGCAGCAGGAGCTTATTATCTCATTGACTTATAACCCCCATCAGCATCAGAGCTAGCAGCTCGAGCATCTTCTCGCATCTGAGCAAGTATCCGTTTCAGTTTTAGTTGCATTTGAACCCTAAAAGGCTTCGGCTAAGGCACATGCATTTGACCGAGTTTACCAAGCAGCGTCAGAGGCAGCAGGCGCAGATCCCTTTCTGTCTTTCCTCTTACCTTTGAAGTAGACTTTGAACCCGAGTCATTCCTCTTTCCTGCTCTTGCTTGGGGATGTAGACCCTTTACTTAACTTAACTTAACTTAACTTAACTTAACTTAACTTAACTTAACTTAACTTACAGGCTTGATCTGATCGATCTATCTAATTGGTTATTGGAATGCGGTTGAAAGATCGGAGGAGTGAAAAGAAAAGGAAGATACGAAATCAATTTAGGAAGGCAGTCACTCGACAAGAGGAAGATAGGGAAGGAATCCTAATTTCTATCCTATTAGGAATGGAAAATTCCCTACTAAGCCTATCTAACTGAGAAGAACTAGAAGACGACATTAAGAAAGGAAAAGAGAAGATAAAGAAGGCTTACAAGACGAGCTGGTATGAGCACAAAGAGTACAAGCACGAAGAAGAATGCTCAGTCTCAGCAGCAAGGCGAAGGCTTAAATAGGTCCCTGCAGAAGCCACACAGCCTCCTCGAGTACGCCAAAAGGGGGGGTGGAAANATACGTGGGGAAGTCTATACTTAGAGGAAATGCATCTCAAGTACATCAATTAGCCCTCTCTTTAAGGAATAAATAGACTAAAGTACCCAAAGTGGCTTTGGTATTTTAGTGTACTAGACAGCTTCTATTGCCGAAAANGGAAATGATTTTGAATTCTTTCAAAAAGAGGAAGGTTACTCTTACTACTTTCGTAAAGGAATTGAAAAGGATCTTAGCTAATACTAATGGAGGTGTCCGGGGAACNAGTACTTGATCCAAATTTATTTCACACTGGATAAGGCCAACTGAGATTCTCCCCTTCCGCCGCTCTTGAGCACATCACTTCTACGATCCACCGCTAAAGGAAGAATTGAGAGCTGGTGCCCAGTTCCTCGGAGCTCTTCTGAACGTGCCATAACCTGTTCGCTATCAGCTGTCTGAGCAACGCGTTGAGCATGAGGGAGAGCACTCGCTTTAGATCACCTCTTTCTTTGTCCCTAGAAAGGAGATCCCAATTGGCAGAGTATCCCTTCCATATCCAATCGTTAGAGATCAAGCAGATCTGGGCCTTGTGTCAGCCTCGTTTCACAATGAAGGTAGGAGCACAGTCTATTTTGGATCCTCTAGTCACATAGGAGCAAGCAGCAGGAGCTTATTATCTCATTGACTTATAACCCCCATCAACATTAGAGCTAGTAGCTCGAGCATATTCTCGCATCTGAGCAAGTATCCGTTTCAGTTTTAGTTGCATTTGAACCCTAAAAGGCTTCGGCTAAGGCACATGCATTTGACCGAGTTTACCAAGCAGCGTCAGAGGCAGCAGGCGCAGATCCCTTTCTGTCTTTCCTCTTACCTTTGAAGTAGACTTTGAACCCGAGTCATTCCTCTTTCCTGCTCTTGCTTGGGGATGTAGACCCTTTACTTAACTTAACTTAACTTAACTTAACTTAACTTAACTTAACTTAACTTAACTTACAGGCTTGATCTGATCGATCTATCTAATTGGTTATTGGAATGCGGTTGAAAGATCGGAGGAGTGAAAAGAAAAGGAAGATACGAAATCAATTTAGGAAGGCAGTCACTCGACAAGAGGAAGATAGGGAAGGAATCCTAATTTCTATCCTATTAGGAATGGAAAATTCCCTACTAAGCCTATCTAACTGAGAAGAACTAGAAGACGACATTAAGAAAGGAAAAGAGAAGATAAAGAAGGCTTACAAGACGAGCTGGTATGAGCACAAAGAGTACAAGCACGAAGAAGAATGCTCAGTCTCAGCAGCAAGGCGAAGGCTTAAATAGGTCCCTGCAGAAGCCACACGGCCTCCTCGAGTACGCCAAAAGGGGGGGCGGAAATGATTTTGAATTCTTTCAAAAAGAGGAAGGTTACTCTTACTACTTTCGTAAAGGAATCGAAAAGGATCTCAGCTAATACTAATGGAGGTGTCCGGGGAGCAGGAAAGTAGATAGGGAGAGAGGAAATAATAGAGACTCTAAAGTACAAGCAAGGAAAGCGCTAAACGTTGCTCAACTGCCCACTCTAGTTGGCTATTCAGAACAGGAGATGAAATTGAGTCTTCTAATTCTTGCTTTCTTTGCCTATTGTATAGTTGTTTGATATGAAAACTCTAATTCCGAGGTGATAAGGCTGGAAAGGGCCCACCTTTCCATNCATCTGAGCAAGTATCCGTTTCAGTTTTAGTTGCATTTGAACCCTAAAAGGCTTCGACTAAGGCACATGCATTTGACCGAGTTTACCAAGCAGTGTCAGAGGCAGCAGGCGCAGATCCCTTTCTGTCTTTCCTCTTACCTTTGAAGTAGACTTTCAATCTGNGCTTTCCACCGCTCTTTGATGGTTATTTTAGATTATGCAATACCTGTTTGACCGGTTGTTTGCCTCCCCTGTTGTGAACTCGGCCCTTACGTGCAACATTTTTGAAATACTATTTGTTGCCCGGAGGGCTGTCATTTCCTTCATCGCGGGGTAGCCTCTTGGCTACTATTCATCTTNCTCGGCCCTCGCGTGCAACATTTTTGAAATACCATTTGTTGCCCGGAGGGCTGTCATTTCCTTCATCGCGGGGCAGCCTCTTGGCTACTATTCATCCTGGCCCCTTTTCTTTTCATTTGGTCTCTGTAATGGTTTTATGAGACCTCGTTCCAGCGCTTTTTCTGGGGTAAAAACTGAGATTGGAAGGGTATACAATTTTCTACAAATTCCGAAAGCAGCCTGTATAAATAAGTAAATCTATAATGAATTCAATAACATACATAAGTAAGGACCTCTCACGGATAGAAAGGATCTACCGCTAACTGGTCGCCCGACCCACCAAACAAAGGCCTAATTCACGTACGTCAATAGTAGAGAGAAATTAATTAACAGTTAAAGGTAGTTGGAGAAGTGGTGAGTAGAAGCCGAGAATCTTTAGCTCACGTGGATGAGCTGAGGAGTTGACAAGTGTAAGTTTACCTGACAAGAGTGAAGAAAACCTTTGGCAGTTGTGATCACGGTTAGGGGAAAAATTCAGGAATCTTGCTTGAGTCGAGTGTTTTAGAAAGTGACTCTCTATCAAAGCACCTGCGCTCTTTCCTCAAGAACACTAAGCAGAAGACCTAAAAACCAGTACTAAGAAATCCGGTAAGAATGTTGAAAGCCGAAGAAAGGGCTATTAGATGGGCGATTCGTGGAAGGAACTGAAGAGTGGAAAAGCGGATCAGCGAGCTTACACATATGGTTTTCTTTGCCTCCTTTATTTCCTTTCTTTACTATATAAGAGTTGCACCAGCGACGTCCTTCTTCAGTTTGCTCTTAGTCTCCAGCGATTGAATCTCCTTATCCAGCTCTTTGACCCGATCCATCAATTCTTGAATCTCTTTGTTCAGTTGTTCCTTCTCCTTTTTCTTAGCTTCTAAGCTCACCAGCTCTTTATGATCTTTCTGCGATCTCTCTATATACTTTTCTCCATCTTGAATCTTGGCCATAAGCTTCGTCATTGCTACATCAGCCTCTTTCACCAAATAGCCTAGCTTTGCCCTCGAAAATCGACAATCGAAAGCTCACTAGGAATGCTTCTGAATCCCTAATATCAGCTAAAATGTCCTGCAGAGTATCCATAGGGGAATCCACTATAAGCTCAGTGACATTTCTAACCAAATAGAAGAATTCTGCTCAATCATTTTTCATTAGATCGTCTACTTGTTCAGGATCTAAATCCAAAGTTTTGAAATCCCGCGGAAATAAGCTCTGAGGAAACTATTGCAGAAAATGGGGGTAAGCTAAGGCGGCCCATTCACTGCAGGACTTCGTCGAATTGTTGCTCTCCATGATCAAAAACTTGCTGAAATCGAGCTGGTTTGAATTGTGCATATCCAACCAAGAGTACCTTATTGAAAGTTTTTCCATTAGTAGGATCAACTTCTACAGTTGCATGATGGGCAGTTTGACTTTGTTTTTGGGGGACAGTGTTTTCCTGACTTGAGACAGTTGGAGAAGTTCTTTTGGGGGCCCTATGTTGAGTAAAGGGGGAGAAGCACTGCAAAAAAAAAAGAAGTAAGCGAAGGAAGGGTAGAGTTGATGGATGGCCTACCAAAGGAAGAAAACGAAAGGAGCAAGTCATTTAGTTTACTGAAAAAAGAACTCTATCATAATTTCGTAAAAAAAAAAAGATGCTGCTCTCTTTCTTCAAGTGAGATATCGGATCGAAAAACAACTTCCGCCCAATAGTGTTTTCAGCGAAAGCCGACCTTACTCAAAAAGGGTGGCGTCAAAACNTTATCCAAATAATGGAAACCCTAAGCCGCGGCCCAAACAAGCCCAATTCGGGTCAGAATGCCGCGGCCAAGCTAACTATGGAACTCGAGGCATGGGCAAAAAGGGTGGCGTCAAAGCCTTCCTCACTCTTGAAGCCTTCAACAAAAAAAGCCATTTGATTCAGTAGAGCTCAAGGCGGTATAGTCAGTGTGAAGTGTACTAACGCTTCACTGAATCTATCCCGGCCTTCCTTTTTATACAAGCATATACAATCTCTCTAATTCAAAAAGGGGGAGATTTTTCGTATCGTATACGTATATAAGGCTCCAAAAAACCAAAGTAGTGCTTCATAAACGAGGCGGCATCTCAAGTAGCCTTCACGGAGGCCCACTTCCATCCCGCAAGAGAGCTGTGAAATCTGATCTTTCTCGATTTTCACTCGTGTGAGAAAAAGCGATGAGGTTAGTGTGAAGCAACCAACCTATACGTCCGCAATCAAACTAAAGCGCGTTAGCGCCCCTTCCAGCTTCTTTCTCAAAGTCAAGAAGGATTTCGCCTTTTTATTGAGGAGAGATTAATGCGCTCAAGCTTACTAAGCAAACACCCTATCTTACTTAATAAAGGGGCTCGAAAGCAAGAAGCAACAGATTAAGCAACTTGCGCGAAAGCCTTTGCTCGTTAGCGCTTTAGTTTGATTGCAGCTAGCACCCTTCCGTTTTCTCGCTTGTTTTCTCTAATAATAAGGTAAGCTTCAAAGCTACTTGTACTAAAAAACAAGTAGCTTTCCATCTCGAACGCGACTCCGCAAGGAGAAAGTTGGGCGCTTTGATTACTTTTTATGAAGTTGCCCTTTTTCGTTTGTGCATCTTTCTTTCTTCCATGCTTTCCGTTGGTCAACAACCAACAAACTCTATAGTTCTTCACTACTCGTACAGGAAGGAGTCTCTTTCTGTCTGGAGGGAATCATTTTTTCTCAATCAAGAATGCCTCAACTG